CAATTAACATAATTTAATCGAAATTAAGTATTATATGCTCAATTAAGTAATAAATAAACAAGTGCAAAATATGCACTTATCAGTAAACACTGTTGGCAAATAATGATTTTACCGTGCTATAATTTAAAATAATCTTTTGCATTGAATAAACGGCTGGGCTGAATATCAGCTTCCAAAATGAACGGAATAAAATTATAATGGTCTTGATAAGAGTTCAACTCTTTCTCCTTAAGACGATAATGCCCCGCACTGGTGCGACGGTATTCCGTCACTCGTCTCAAGATACAACGACCTCGACTTGTAATAGTAGCACTCTAAATTACATGATTCGACGAACCTACTAACATTTTTTCTCTCTCTAAATTTGGAGAACTAAAATGCATGAAAATAATATTTAAGACTGAGATGCAAAATATGGAATAATGTAGGGATGAAGGAATATAATTTGTAAGAGATAATAATCAGAATTGATTTTGGAATGAATAAAATCCAGGTTATGGGGGGTCTTTATATAGAAGTTAAAAAGTTGTTGATAAGTGTATTTTATACACTTATTCGGGGTTCTAAAATATCGATATTTGGTAGTTCTTTTGACAAAATATATCCTGAATTATTGTATTTTATGTTAGATAGATAAAACTCAATGGTTGAACGAGCAATCGAAAGAAATAAGCGAAAATTGGTGAAAATTGCAAAATTCAAAGTTTGAGGACCAAATTGAAAATATTCAATAGTTGATTCGGACCACAAGAAGATACTTCAAAGATTGCTAAGAGATAATTAGATGGAATTAGAACTCAAAAATGAATGGAATATGGTCAAAATATGCTCAGACCACACCACAGCAAACTGTCCCTCCAGGTTTTCAGCAAATGAGAAGAAGTCTTCATTAGAAGATCTTGTTACTAAATTGGCGGAGATATCTACCAAACACATGCAAAGAGCAAATAAAATCTTACAAGTTTAGGGAGTTACCCTAAAAAAATTGCAAAATCAGATGGTACAAATAGCGAAAGTACTTTTAGAGAGACCATCAGGAGCACAGTCTAGTAACACTGAGATAAATCCTAAATAGTAGGTAATGGCAGTGAGGTTCGTGGAGGAAGAACAGATTGAGTCAATAACTACCCGTGGTGGAGTTCAATTGCCAAAGATTAATATAAAGAGACTAGTTGCTACAAAAGAAAAGGAACATTTCACGGTTGAGAATTAATTGGAAGAATCTGAGCAGAACAAAGAAATAGAGACAGAAAGAGCATCAGAGGATCCTAAGGTTAAGGAAACCGTTCCTACTAAATAATTTGTGCCACAACTACTGTTTCCACAAAGACTACAAAAGAGAAAGTTCAATGATCAATTCGAGAAATTCATGGATATGCTGAAAAAGCTTCACATCAACAAATCCCGATGTATGCTAAGTACCTGAAGGACATGATATCTAAGAAAAGAAAGCTCCAGATCGGGAAGAAGTGACATTAACCGAGAAGACCAATGCAAGGCTGCAAAACAAATTGTCACCAAAATTCAAAGACCCATAGAGTTTCACTTTACCTATTTCACTAAGCAAAGAATTTCATTTTAATGCTTTATGTGATACAATTGCAAGTGTAAATTTAATGCCTTTATCTACTTTTAGGAGACTAGGAGTTGGGTAAATCAAATGATCAAATGTCACGCTACAACTAATAGATAGGAGCATCAGATACCCATGAGGCAAGGTTGATGCTATGCTCATCAAAGTTGGGAAGCTGATAATCCCGGTGGACTTCCTTGTTATGGACCTCAAAGACGACCACGAGATGTCAATTATCTTAGGTCGACCCTTTTAACAACAAGTCGAACTTTGATTAAGATGAAGAAGGGTGAGTTGACTATGAGGGTAGATGACGCACATGAAATCTTTAAATTATATAATCCACCCAAGCAGGCATTAGCCCTAGAAGAGGCCAAATATGTTAATGAAGAAATTCATCAAAGGTCAAAGGAGACAAAGCTTAAGCGTTTAGGGAGCCTTCCTAGAGAGGATAATGGAGATCTCAAGGTTTGAAGGGTAAAAAGAGGATGTAAAGTCGAAAATTGTAAGGAGTATGAGGCTACAAGACTCCCGAATGAACCACTAGCTAAAGACTATAAATTAAGTGCTTATTGGGAGTCAACCCAATTTTGATCCTTTTATTTATTTTGTTTACCATATTGCATTGCACATAGTGTTATTCTTGATTAATGGGTGCATTAGTTAGAGGTACGTTTCAATTCAGTTTAGGGGTCATCTTCATCATTGACATTTAGCCTAATTAAAGGAAAATATTAATTGAGTCAAAAGGAGTTTTCTTTTTATTCTTTTGATTATTTTCTTCCCCTCTTAATAGGTAACATGTATAATGAAATTGGAAGAAGCGTAGAAAAGTACAAGTTGGAATAAATTGACAAATAGCTCATTACACATTCAAAAAAAAAAAAAAAATTTCGAGGAATACCTTCTTCATTTTCTTCCCCACCCCCTTATTCTTACTTATACTTTATGACATTGAGGACAATGTCGATTTTAAGTTTGGGCGTAGAAAAACCTTGAGTTTTTACTTTTAGTATATTTTTGAGTGTTTGTGTGGATTAGATAGTCTGGCCGACAATGATGATTATGTTTAAGATTTGGTCGTTGATTTATGAACAATGGATAGGTTGAATGCTAGATTGTTGCTTAACCCTGCAAAATTTGATATTATACGCGCACTAAAATTAAGTTTTTCATCATGATGCAATAAGTTGATTCATGTGCTGGATAGGTTGATAGATTGAACATAGATGCTATACTAAACACTATTATATATTAATGATCCTTAGACCAAATTTAGTATAGTTTGGAGATGATTTTACGGCTGTTGGAAGATATGGATGTAAACTGGGATTCTTTGTGTGAAAAGTTGTGTGGAATTGTCTTAGATTAATAGGATAAAATTGGGCAAAAGTCTTAAGTTAAAGGTCATTTTGATTATATAGGTGTTTAATGAGGGGTATTGCACTAATCAAGATAAAAAATATATAAAAAAAATCTCTTCATAACTTTTATGACTCAAGTTATTAAGTCTGCTAGGGTATTTACAACTGGTGTCCAATAATCATCTGATTTGGGAGTCGTTGATCAAAAGCTCGATACATGGGTCCTATAGAAAGTTTAAGGGAGAGAGAGTGCAGTTGTGTCCAAAAGTTAACAACGTCGAAAAGTTATGTCTTAAATAAATACAACCCGTTTGAACATGCAGTTCAACTGTCAACCATTAGCTTCTAGAAGAAGCCACGTGTCGTGTACAAAAAATTCGAAAAAAATAAATAATGTAAATAAATATATTATTATTTTAAATAATATAATTTAAAAATTATTTTACCAAAAAAATATATACTAACTTGGCACAAGCCCAAGCTGAAGCCCACGACCCGTGCCGGTTGAACGGCGGCGCGCACGCGTGGGTTTTGGCTCAATCCATTAGCATGTTGACTGTCAAAGATTATGTGGTTTCTATTCTTCTAGTTTTTCTATGTGGGATTGTCATTTTTCAATTTTCCACCAAATTTTATTCCCAATTTATTTCAACTTCAAGTTGTTATTTTTTTGCCTTAATTTCTCATTCACCCTAAATTGATTTTGATAAAAATAAATACATTATATTAATTTACTCATGAAGTAGAACACACCGGCCAAAGTAATCTTTTGTCCAACTAACGAAACCCGCTAAAATAATTGATCAAATGCTAGTGATAAACTATTCAATCAATCTTTAGTTCATTGACACGGATACACTAAGGAAGAGGCTAACTTATAATAAACTACAGATTGTCCCCAACAAAAAGACACACTTGGGAGAGACAGACAGACAAACACCCCATATTAATAGTTAAGAATGATATGCTTTGGAGCAATATATGGTTTGTCTCTTGTAATTACCTGAGTTCACATGTCTCTTTAACAAAATAAGGTACTTCTTACTTTCCACCACACAACAACTCATTAAATATGACCCACAAATCATGCGTTAAACAGCTTGATTATTACATTTAGTGCATTGCAACTCATAATCTATATTTACATATATATGTTTCTTCACCCCCCCCCCCCCCCCCCCCCCCCCCCCCCCCCNATTTACAATCTAAACAGACTAAATTTGTTACATTGCATATTTTCTTATTTATTACAATTTCTTATCAGTTAAGAATATCATTTTTACAAACAAACCTCGTAAATTTGTCGTCGTATATTTCCTTGTTTAGTATAATATTTTCTCATTCGAGAATATCTTTGTACTAACAATCCCCCTATAATTGCTATAAGATTTTGGAATCTAATTAGCTTAAAATTTTGAATTATCTTGATATATATGTTCAAATTACTAAGGTAAATAATCTTCCAAATTAATGGTCCCTCACTACTCTTAATGCACAATTCCATGATTTCTACTCCTCTTAACTAATTAAAAAAATATATAGTTTTTTACCTAAGACCATGATGAATTATTTTATAAAATGAATAGTAAACTTAGTGGTGCATGAAGCAAAATTAATCATTTTTCTCTTTGAAAGATTGCTATATTTTATTATTATATTAGGATGGAGAATAAAAAACGAAATATTTTGCATTATTGCATATTAAATCAGTTAAAATCGGAGACAATCACTTTCAAGTCATTAGTTTTTTTCCAACGCGATGACTTAGGCAATAATATAATATAGATTTATAGAAGTTATCAAAACGAGTTAGAGCAACATTATTATAAAATCCAAATATATATTATATAAATAGAATGAATCACATAAATCTACACACAATCTGATCCAGCGATGCAATAATTACTCAGTTCAAAGTGTTGACAGCTTAAAAGGGTATCAGAAGATCTCTCGGATTCCTTACCAGTTTTTTGGATCAGAGTTTTCAAGAATCAGAATTTTTTTTTTAAGTAGAAAGCAAATTTTTCTTCATTTCTTGGAGTCAAAATCATACAGAAAAAGGGATGGGAAGCAATTACTTTGGTGAGCCAAACCTAGGAAATGAAAGAGGATCATCTTCATCAAGAAAAGGGAAAAAAAGCAATTCAGACAAGCCTAAACAACCTCAAAGAGGGCTTGGTGTTGCTCAGCTTGAAAAGATTAGATTGCATAGCCAAATGGGCTTTCTTCCTTCTTCTGTTCATACCCCTTATGCCCCAAATTTCAACCAGGTATTCAGGAACTTTTTTTGCCAGGTTCTCGAATGAAACGATTAAATTATATGTTTGTTGGTCATTTGTGAATTTTTTCTAGTTATTGGAGTTTTATTATGTGTTGACATTTCTGCAGGAGGATATGAGACTTCCAACAGGCTATTCATCTTCGTCTTCGTCCTTCCCATATTCATCATCAGTAGTATCCTCCCCTTCTTATGGATTTTCAGGCCCCCAAAACTTCATGGTATGAGAACTTTCAATGAAATAAAATAAAAAATTCTCATCTGATCTTATTACTATTTTGCTTGCAATCATTACAGTTAGGTTTGTAATAAAAATTCGACTGTTAAAAACGTAATATAGGGTAGTTAATATAGATCTGTGTCATACTTAATTTTCTATGATCATCTCATCATCCTGTTTCCTTAAAAATCTGAGATGCCACTTTATTTGGAAATCCGTTGCCACATAATTAAGAAATGATTGTGAACCCTAGATAAGAGTGAAGAGCATGATTTCGAGATATTGGTAATTCTGTTCAACTTAATTTTTTTACATAGTTTCCCATATCTAATTTATGTAGGAAAAACGTTACCTTGTAAAAATAGACTATTAGGATGAAATCATAGGCAAATATTCTAATTCGTGAGTGACTAAACTTGTGAACATGTCTGTGTCTATTGTAGATGGGATTGCCAGACTCAGAAAGGGCAAAAATCATATATGAAGATTCCCAACCGAGCAATGCTTCAAGGTATGTATTTATGTACTTTTCAAGTTTTTGCAAGATTTCTGTTTTTTAATTTGAATACTTACCTATTTTCATCTCAAATTGGGATTTAAATCAGATGGCATCCAGGCACTGAAGTATCGGGAACCCAAAATTTTTCGCAGCCAAGCACGACAAAGCACTTCTTCAACCTAGAAGTAGAGGTACTTTACAACATTTTCGGGGTTGAAAATATCGTTAGTCACTCAATTTATAACATTGCTTCGCTTTGGTAGAACATAATAATCGAAAATGCTCACAAGCTAATATCGACTATTTTCATTTTTTTTTTGGCAGGAATCCTTCAATAGGAAGAAGAAAGGCAGGAGTCGTTCCACGGGCTCAAGTAGTCAGAATTCTGAAACAAGTGACACTGAAGAAATAGATTTGGAGCTCAGATTATGAGTTTGGACTACCATTTTCTGAAACTTTAGCCAATAGAATTGTAATTAAGATGAGCGTCTTGAGTCAACTTACAAGCAAGTTTAAGAATCTTGATGCACTTGTCCTGTAATTTCCATTGGAAAGGTTTGCACTGTAGTGGAAGTTACTTTGACAAGAAATTTTATCAAATACATTCTATGACTTCTGTTTCTTTTACATAAATTCATTCAAGAATGTCTTGGATCAATTATTTAAGCATGATTGAGTTTTACAGATGTTCTCATTATCTTAACATTTTTTTTTTTTTAATAATATGAACTTTATTAGGGAATGTCATATGTAACTGGACTATATGAACTACTTTAAGCCTCAAGTAACCAAGCCATAATGAAAGGCAGGATCGATCTAACCCTGAAGGCATGCCTTAAGGCGTATCCTTAAAAGCCTCAAATACATTTTGTACGAGATAAAATTGCTATGGAATTGATTAGGACCTTGCTACTTGTACCCTCTTGTTTACACTTTGGTTTACTCGGTCCCACCCATCCTCTCACTTGGAGGTCGGGCCCCACGCATTTATTGGATGTGGGACCCGACCTCCATGTGAGAGGGCAGGTGGGGTCGGGTAAACAAGAGGGTAAATAAGAGGGTACAAATAGCTTAATTCAATTGATTATTATTCCTCCAAAAATCATGGACGAGTCTCAATGAAAGACAATTAAGCTTTCCTTGAACTTTTGTTATATGTTTTAGTTAGTCATCGTGAAAAGATTCTATTACGACTTCAAGTCATCGTTGAAAAGGTAATTCTTTGTAGTATCACGTTGTATGATCATATTAGAATGTCATCTTAATACCATTATGTGATAATTGTTGTGGTAATCGCATCATCTCATCAAACCCTAGTCGAAAGGAGCGGACCCAAACATTAGTACCATAGCAAACCACAAAGGTCCATGCATCATATGATAGATTCCTCATATGTTACTATACATTCACATGTATACAGTGTATAAATATATATGATTCACAAGAAATAAAATGTTTGTTCACTATTGTTTTCATAAAAAGTATGCAAAATAATTGGAAATCGAGACAATCGAATAAAAAGTTATTATTAAAATAATTAACTCGTTTATTTTCAATTTTCTTCAATTTAAAAAGTTATACATTTTTAACTTAGTTTTAATTTATAACTGTTACTTAAAGGCAAACTTTTTAAACATACAAAGTACAAATATATGATAAAATAATAGCTAGGTACAAGTAAAAGATGGAAACAAGAGATTATGTTTGAATCGATATTCTTTTAAATAATGATTTGATTCAAATTGTAGTACGATAAACAACAAAGTGTAAAATATGGGTATAAATCTAATGTAGATTGTGGGCACATGTTGTAAAAAATACACTATATATTTATATTTACACACAGTTCTCGAAGCAATCCCTTGGAGGTCGCTGCCTGTTTCATAAAACTCAATCTTATGAGACGTCAAATAATCCTTAATTTTATAAGTACTATATATGAAAGAATAATGTATTCAAGATTCTTGTTAAGATTGATCTCATTGATTCTATGTTCTACGTGAATGAACTTTATTATTAGAGCACAATGCATTCCGTGGATTACAATCTATGTGACACATAAATAGACAAATTAATTTCTATCTAACGGCTGCATTTGTATCTAATAAGTAGACGGTCAAGCGTAAAATTGATTTTCAATGAATTCCATCTATATTCCAATATTTCCATCTCAAGTTAAAATGAAAATAAAGATAATAAAATAGAGTGAAAGAGAAATAAAAATCTAATATTCTAAGAGAAAAAATAATCAATTATATTGCTAAACAAACAACACGACTGAGTCTCTACATGTAAATATTGTCTATTCGAAAAATCATATATATCTCATACTCATTTTCTATCACATATTCTTCAAAAAAATCATTTTTCACTTTTTCTCATAATTTTTCTTACTTTTTAACCATTCATACCCAAAAAATAACGTTTCAAAAAAAAATTATTTTTCAAATATTCGCTCTCACCACTACAAGAAAAAAGGCTTTTTGCAACATGCAGGCTACATTCATCAATTGCATGTTGCTAAAAGGAGTCTATGACAACATTCAGCAAGTGTATATTACTATTAGTTGACAAAATTAGTTTTGGCAACATTTATTCAAGGAAATGGGAATGCCCCTGGTGGATGAAGTGTGAAGAGATGCATTTAAGGATGTTGGTGTGGAAGATGGAAGAGCTTATGGTAGTTCTTTTTTTTTTTTTTTTAAATGTATTATTTTTTTAAATGTTTCAAAATTTTTGATCTGAATTTTATATGGATATTGTTACATTTGAAGTTCAGTTAATGATGATTATTGAAGTTATTTGATATTATTATCTTCTATTTTGTTTTGTGGTTGATTTATGTAAATTATTGTACAAATAAAATAATTAAAAATAAAAAAAATGTAAAAATGACCTACGACAACGTTCGTTGAACGTTGCGGAAAGTGTCTACGGCAACGTTCAATGAATATTGCAAAAAGTTGGAACTCTACGCCGACATCAAAGCCCGCAACATGCACCTGAACGCTGCAAAAGGTCTATGACAACATTTTTTGCGTGTTGCCATAGGCTGTTTCTGGTGTAGTGCACACAAGCGCTTAATATATTTTTCACTTTTGGCATAATGGTTCTCATCACTTTTCTCTTGCTCTTAGTATTTATTGGTACACGTTATAGTACTCGATGGGATAATATAATGAAAATAAATATTGTCCATTACTATCCAATTCTCCTATGAAGAACCTCCTTGGCCGAATCTTCTATCTTTTATTAGCATTTTTTATTTGTTTAATTAATTTATCTCTTAATATTAAGTCACTATGGTGTTTACAACACTTTATATTGTTGTTTTATTTGGATGGTTTAGATTAGCGAATCAAATTTGAGATTTTTATCTTGTCGAGTTTTCGATATTTTTCTGAAGATTCAAAGAATATCTCAAAAATATGCAAGTAATTGCAGAATCAACAAACTTTTGCTGTACTCTGAATCTTTTCTTTTTTTCTTTTTTTTTTCTCCTTTGCATGGTATGCCTTATATTCCAAGATATGCCAAGATATTTAGACATTGGTAGAACGTGTGTGGATTTGTTGTGATGCTTGTTGCAGTTATCTAGAATGGAGTAATTTAGTGTGCATGATTGAGTCTGAAAATCTTGGGGGATTCCTAGATCTCTCTAGTAGTAATTAATGTGGACAATAAAATATTCCACTGAATCCATTTCTAACCATGGTCGAAGATTTTATTCTTAAATTAATTACTTAACTAGACATGCAACAACTGGACATGGGACCTTGGAAACTACAATGAAACTTCTGATTCACGTGTGAAGATGCTCAATGTATAGATCATCTCTTTTCTCTGTGGAAATTGTGTAGTCCAACAAAAATACCCTAAGATCACGTAGACTATGAATTGAGGTATGAAGAGTGCAAACTTTACACAAGGTCAAATTTTCGTTGTTTATGTATTAATATTTAGGGTTCTATCTTCAATATCGAGAAAAACAATCCATGGTCCTATTTATTGTGAGATTGGCTCGTTTGAGAACATCAATTTTAAAATTTTGATTGCTAATTTGAGCTTTAGAAGGACCTAATTGCTCCTTTAAGAAGTTTAATGAGCTATGATATTATATTAATACTTGCATTCCATTTCAAGAAGTCAACCTTATTAATAAGATGGTGGCTCCTTTGAATTTAATGAATTCTAATATCATATTAAAGTTTCATTTTAAAAGGTCAACATTATTTTAAAAAAAAGGTAACTTGGGGTCCTTTTATGATGTGTATTTATTTCATCTCTATTCGATGTTAATTTAACTTCATAGCGTATATACACACGCAACTTGCAAGAAATTACAATCATATGCATGATTGCACTTTAAGAATCTAATGGGAGAACTTAAAATTATAATTGTTAGAATTTCGATGTTACCCCGAATTTTATTTTGAAGGTACATTTGGAGTTGGTTGTTTGTTTTGGAGAAGCCTTGAAAGAGAAAAGACTACAAGAAGTCAAAGAAGACAAAAGATGGCCCAGGGCGAAGAAGTCATGACAAAATCACTCGTTGGCCGCTCATAGGGCGCTCGAGTGCTAAAACAGGACCTTGGTCGTTCGCTAGGTGCAAGTCAACCGCTCAAGCGACAACTTTATCAAAAATTTTGGAATTTTGCGATTTGGCCAGTTTTGGGACTCCTATTTCAAGTTGAATGATTCGTTATTGGTTTTATCCGTTGTATTGGAACTTCACCTTAAATTAAACTCTCCAGTATACTAATTCTCTTAGTATGTTAGGGATTATTGTATTATAAATATGTGGTGTAAACAAATATTTGATGGATTCACATTGATGGAGGGAGACTCGCAAATAGAGAAATCAGGAGAGAGTCGACATCCAGTATAACATATTGTAATTCCTTACTTTTAATATAATGAATTCTTCGCTTTTGCCCATCATTTTTCCCTTCTTGCGTTTCCCGTAAATCTTATATTCTTGTGATTGTTATTTTCATCTTATCCATTATCTCGTCTTTAATATTTATAACAATAAACTTCTTATATTTTTTAAACCACTCCCC